TGTGTAACTAATAACAATGGTCTCACTAGCCCGTGGTCCCGAGACTTGCGGTCTCGGGACGCCGGGCGCGCGAGACACTGTCTCGCGTCCCCAACCTTAAGTGGTTCCGAACCTCGGGACCTAGGGACACTCCTAATTGGTTCCTTCTATGGGACGCTCTTGATTGGTCTACACCAAACTGAGCGTGCCCCACTATTGCGGATTTCGACAAGGATTCGTAACACTGACTTGTAGCAATTGGCTATAAAAGCGCATTTGGCTATAAAGAGCACTCTTTTACCTATTTAGCTAACTTGCTGCCAAAACGCAAAATTCGTCACCTTACCTATCTAGCTAACTTGCTGCCAAAACTCTACAACTCGTCACCTCTTGACCTATACGCATACGACCCTCTCAACGCCACCAAAGCTATCGCAAATGACCTCCTCCTAGTTCTTCCTTTCCGCCTCAACTACCCTATACTGCTCCCAAGAAAGCGTCCCCACATACACGATTTGCACTTGCTTCCTCATACTGTACTCAAACGGCGCTATTTGTACCATCTTCCATCGCCGCTTAAGCTGCCGAATGCTTGCTCAACCACAACACGAATGCGTGCCCACAATACGAATGCGTGCCCACACCACGAATGCGTGCCCACAATACGAATGCGTGCCCACACCACGAATGCGTGCGTGCCGCAAGTTGAAGAGCTCCTTTGCGGTTTCCGGTCGGCACTCTGCATTTAGCGGCTGTATCGGGGCAATTGATGGCACGCATATAAACCCACGTGAGGAAGGCCAATCAAATTCGCTGGCGAGATCGAAAGGCTGTATTACCAGAACGAGCTAGCTGCAGTCAGAAGCGATAGCTGCAGTATCGTAATTGACCGTCAATCCAGGACGCCTTGCACCTGAAGCCCGTATAAAGTGCTGGTTATGTTTGACTAGGCTACAGCTACGGTATGTTTCTAACTCTTTGGCCGCCCTTGTTTCCTTGTGATGTTTCTAACTTTTCGGCTGCCCTTGTTTCCTTATGATGTTCCAACTTTTTGGACGCCCTTATCCTTGTGATGTTTCCAACTCTTTGGCCGCCCTTATTTCCTTGTGATATTTCTAACTCTTCGGTATCTCGATCTGGCATTAGCTATACTGCTCTTTCTCCCTGCCGCCCTTTTTGTTTCCTTATATGTTTGAGGGTGCCTGTCGGGTAGGCTATACTGGTCTTTCTCCCTGCCGTCCTTGTTTTCTTATGATATTTCTAACTCTTCGGCATCTTGATCTGGTATTGGCTATACTCGTCTTCTCCTTGCCTCTTTTCTTTTTTTCCTTACATGCTCGAGGGTAACTGTTGGGTATGCTGCGAAGAGGGGTCATTGGTTCCTTGTATATTCGAAGATGCCTGTTGAGTAGGCTGTGAGCGGGTTATCGGTTTAGGGAGCCGGAGGTAGGCTGAACTTTTCTTTCTCCCTGCCCCCCTTCTTGTTTCCTTGTGATGCTCCAACTCTTCGGCCGCCCTTTTCCCTTGTGATATTTCTAACTCTTTTGTATCTTGCTCTAGTATTAGCGTACTGCTCTTTCTCTCTGCCGCCCTTGTCCTTGTGATGTTTCCAACTCTTCGAAATCTTACTCTGGTATTGGTATTACAAACCACTCGACTGTTAGGGTCGTCTGTCTGTAAGGGAGCACGGGCTCCACAGAATGCTGGGGTTGGTAATTATGAAGATAGAATAAAGGGCAAGCTCCTATCGCACGGGTAATATAGTCAAATCGGAATGTCACTCAAAGTGTATGAGTGCAGTGAATGTGTATTGCTTGCTTGAGGAACCAAGCAAGAACTATCTAAGACCGTGGATACGGTCATCGTATTTATTTAATTATGGCGAGCCAGTAAGAGCTGCGCTCTTACTTGCCCGACAGGAAGGAGCTGCCTAGCGCCGGGTACTGCTAGCGTGCCGGTCCATTTGCCTGGTGCCAAGACCCTTCTTGGCACCGGGCCACCCCTGATTGGCTGTCCTTCCGTTTGCCTGGTGCCAAGAGCCCTCTTGGCACCGGGCACCGTCTGATTGGCTCTCGACGACCGGGGCCCCCAGTCTTGCCTGAGGCGCCTGCCTCCTGCAGCTGGTCCAGTACGAACCAGGTTCGTCACACACCGCTCTTGGCTGTGGACTTTGCCTTACCGTACCACGTCAGCTCCCCGCCAAGGCAATGTGGTGGGATACGCATCTACAGACAGTGCATCTACATATTACAAACCACTCGACTGTTAGGGTCGTCTGTCTGTAAGGGAGCATGGGCTCCACAGAATGCTGGGGTTGGTAATTATGAAGATAGAACAAAGGGCAAGCTCTTATCGCGCGGGTAACACAGTCAAATCGGAATGCCACTCAAAGTGTATGAGTGCAGTGAATGTGTATTGCTTGCTTGAAGAACCAAGCAAGAACTATCTGAGACCGTGGCTACGGTCGTCGTATATATCTATCTAAGGCGGACCAATCAGAGAGTTGGTCCTAGGTGATCAGTGAGCTCAGTGCGGTCAGTGTGCTCAGCGCGATCAGTTCCCTCACTGATCGCCCTGACGATGCTGATCGTACTGACCGCCCCGTTATTGGCTGCACTTGAGCGAAGTGGGGAACTACCCCACTTCCTTGCGTCAGCCAATAGTGGGAGGCTCCGTGCAGCCTCCTGCGCGCCTGAACCAGGATCGTAACACTACAGACAGTGGAATCCGGCAGACAGTGGTGGGATTTGCCTCTACAGACAGTGCATCTACAGACAGTGGGATCCGGCAGACAGTGGTGGGATGCGCATCTACAGACAGTGCATCCACTGACAGTGGGAGATCCGGCAGACATGTGCACCGCAGCAGACATGTAGTTTAGGGATCTGTCAGACAGAAATCTGTCAGACAGGTAGTTTAGATGTCTGTCAGACAGGTAGTTTAGAAATCGAGTTTCAGATATCAGGTTCCACGCTGGGCAGCACGATTTCTCGTCGTGATTGCGGCGGGTGCACTGTAGCAGACATGGGGGATCCGGCAGACATTTGGTTTAAAGATCTGTCAGACAGGTAGTTTATCCAGGTGTCAGATATCAGGTTCCACGCTGGGAGCACGATTTCTCGTCATCATTTTGGCGGCGCACGTAGCAGACAGTGGGGGATCCGGCAGACATGTGGTTTAGAGATCTGTCAGACAGGTAGTTTATCCGGGTATTAGATATGAGGTTCCACGCTGGCTGTAGCGATTTCTTGTCGTGATTGTGGCGGGCGTACGTAGCAGACAGTGGGGGATCTAGCAGACACGTAGTTTAGGAATCTATCAGATAGGTAGTTTAGAAATCTGTCAGACAGGTAGTTTATCTGGGTGTCAGACAGTAGTTGGGGGATACGTGTGTAGATATGTAGTGGGATAGTATCTACAGATATCCAGCAGACATGTGTTTTAGGGATCTGTCAGATAGGTAGTTTATCCAAGTATCAGATATCAGGCTCCACGCTGGCTGCAGCGATTTCTCGTCGTGATTGTGGCGGGCGCATGTAGCAGATAGTGGGGGATCCGGCAGACAGTGGGGGATCTGCAGACAGTGGGGGATCCGCAGACAGTGGGGGATGCAGACATGTGGTTTAGGGATCCGGTGCGACACACGTAGTTTAGGAATGCGGGTGTCCGACAGTGGTTGGGGATGCGTGTGCACATGTGGTGGGATACGCATCTACAGACATCCGGCAGACAGGTAGTTTGGGAATCTATCAGATAGGTAGTTTAGAAATCTGTCAGACAGGTAGGAAATCCGGGTGTCAGATATCCTGCAGGTTCCACGCTGGCAGCACTATTTCTCGTCGTCATTTCGGCGGGCACCGTAGCAGACAGATGCACCGCAGCAGACAGTGGGGGATCCGGCAGACACGTAGTTTAGGAATCTGTCAGACAGGTTTAGAAATCTGTCAGACAGAAATCTGTCAGACTAGTTTAGAAATCTGGGTGTCAGATATCCTGCAGCACGATCGCGGCGGCACCGTCCCGTCATTTCTGGGCGCTGGAGCACTCCCGGCGTTTCTGGGCGCCGTGGTGCTGGTGGTTGTGGTGGTGCCCTGTGGTAGTTGTGGTGGTCGTGCCAACGGCTCGCGTTCGCCCCACTTTTCCCGTCGCGCCCCTTCTATCTTACACTGCACCACATAATTTCTCCACTACACTATTTCACCCTCATTCTCCAGCCGCACTTTTCTCGCGGCGCCTTCATTTAGCGCTCTCTGGTTCGTTTTCGTCATTTCTGGCGGCTTGATTTCTCGTCATTTCTCGCAGCTTGATCTCTCGTCATTTGGGCAGTTCTCGCAGCTCATTTCTTCTACCTTGACTCTCGTCATTCTTCCACCCTCCACAGCTCATTCTTCCACCCTCTCTACAGCTCATTTCTTCTACCCTCTCTACAGCTTGATTTCTGCAGCTTGATTTCTGCTTCTCGATTTCTCGCAGCTTGATTTCGGGTTCTCGATTTCTCGCAGCTTGATTTCTGGTTCTCGATTTCTCGTAGCTTGATTTCTGGCGCTTGTCATTTCGGACCACCCTCTCCACAGCTCATTTCTTCCACCTACTCCCCACAGCTTGATTTCTCGCAGCTTGATCTCTCGCAGCTTGATTTCTGGTTCGTCATTTTGGGCAGCTTTCTCGTAGCTTGATTTCTGGTTCGTCATTTCCGGCAGCTTTCTGGCCGCAGCTCTTCATTTCTTCTACCCTCTCCACAGCTCATTTCTTCCACTTGACTCTCCACAGCGTCATTTCTCGCGCTTGATTTCTCGTCATTTCTCTCCGCTTGATTTCTCGTCATTTGGGCAGCTTCTCGCAGCTCATTCTTCTACCTTGACTCTCGTCATTCCTCTACCCTCTCCACAGCTTGTCTCGCAGCTCATTTCTAACTCGTCATTTCTCGCAGCTTGATTTCTTGTCATTCTTCCACCTCGACTCTCGTCATCCACCTCGACTTCCACGAGACTCTTCCATCGCACCTCTTGTCATCCGCAAGCATGGAGGGCGACATGAATGGCGTGAATGGCGGCGTGAATGGCCACGGCGTGAATGGCGTGAATGGCCACACCAATGCCGTGAATGGCCACACCGACACTGCCGACGACTCTGACAATGCCCCCGAAAATGCCCGCAACACCAACAACTACAATCCCCTCGACGCAAGGGCCTTGCGGGCGGAACTCGACGAGGCCGTGCGGGCGGAAGTCGCCGAGGCCGTGCAGGCGGAACTCGACGAGCTTGTGCGGGCGGACAACAACAGGGCCATGGAACTCAACGCGCGACTCGATGCGGCGCTGGCGGACCTCGTGCGGGAGGCCGCACTAGCGGATGCGATGCGGGCGGACGACGAGGTCCTGCGGGCGCACAACGAGGCCATGCTGGCGGACATCGAGACGGAGGAGAGGCTGGCGGACGAGGCCACGGCGGAGACGGACGCGATGATGGCAGAGCTCGAATACCTCGACGAGGAGGAGGCGAGGCTAGAGGCCATGCAGACGGAGGTGATGCTGGCGGGTCTCGAATACCTCGCCACAGACGAGGCCGTGGCGGAGGCCATGCTTGCAGAAGCAAAGGCCATAGCGCAAGACACGGACACGGAGGCGGCGCAAGACACGGAGGCGCAGGCCCTGGACTTCGACCCCCTGATGGAACTTGAGGATGCCATGCTGGCGGCAGACGCCGAGGCGGCTGCTGCAGCTGACGAGTGGGCAGAGGCGCTGCTAGCAGATATCGACAACGAGACCCAGCAGCGCCTCAACGACGAGACACCTGACACGGACACGGAGGCGGCGCAAGACACGCAGGCGCATGCCCTGGACTTCGACGCCCGGCTAGAACTCGAGACGGCCATGCTGGCGGCGCTCGCCGCGGCGGCTCCTGCGGCTGACGAGAGGGTGGAAGCGCTGCTGGCGCATCTCGACGACGAGACGCAGCTGGGTCTCGACGAGGCCGCGCAAGACACGGACGACGAGGCCGCGCAAGACACGGACAACGAGGCCGCGCAAGACACGGACAACGAGGCCGCGCAAGACACGGACGACCAGGCCATGGACAAAGAGGCCGTGGCGGCGGAGGCAATGCTGGCGGGGCTCGAGGACCTCGACGAGGCGCTGGCGGCAGAGGCGTTGCTGGCGGCCGTCGACACGGAGGCGCTGGCGGCGGCGGTGCTGGCGGATGTCGAGGAGGCCATACAGGCGCAGGAGATGCTGGCGGGGCTCGAGGACTTGCCAGACCTTGACTTGCCTTTGCCAGACCTTGACTTGTCTGTGCCAGATATCGACTTGCCTTTGCCAGATGTCAACTCGGACGAGGACTTGCCAGACGTGAAGCAAGATATCAAGAACTCGGACGGGAACTTGCCTTCGCCAGACGACAACTCTTTTCCAGAGGTCATTTACGTATCGTCAGATGACGAGAACTCGGACGAGGACTTGCCAGACGAGAACTTGCCTGACGAGAACTCGGACGTTGAGGACTTGCTAGACGAGAACTTGGCATTCGAAGAGAACTCGGACGTTAAGAACTTGCTAGACGACGAGAACTTGCCTTCGCCAGAGCAAGATATCAAGAACTCGCCTTCGCCAGAGAACTTGAACTCGCCAGACGTCATTTACGTATCGTCAAACACTCTACCCCATAATCCGGTGAAGCAGGAGAACGAGAACTCGCCTTCGTCAGACGAGCCTTCAGAGAACTTGCCAGACAACTCGTGCTCTCTGCAAGACTATCAAGACACGTCGGCTAGCCCAGACTACACCCAAGACATTGTCGTGCCCGACCTGCCAGACTACACCCAAGACATTGAGGACACGCTCATGTTGGATATGCTGCAAGAGCTTGACGACATGCAGGACTTGGCCGCCGGCTGGCCAGACCTGCAGGAAACCATCGACAGGCTGGACGTGGCTAGCCCAGACATGGACTTGGCCAGCACTCCAGAATATTCTGCGGCTAGCCCAGGATATTCCGCGGCTAACCCAGGATATTCCGCGGCTAGCCCAGAATATTCCGCGGCTAGCCCAGATAGGCACGACATGGACACTGAGGACATGGACACTCCAGGATATTCCGCGGCTAGCCCAGAATATGGGCACATAGACACTGACCACGACATGGACACTGACCGAGAGATCGACGACTTCGCCAGCACTCCTGACCAACAGGACATGGACTCGCTCGTGCTTCAATCGATCGAGGACGAGGCCACCCTTCGAGACATCCAGGACGAGGCCGTCGTTCAAGAGTTCGAGGACACGCGGGGCTTCGACATCCGCGACTACTACACGTCCACCCCAGACATTTGGCCCACGCCAGACCCAGTCCATTGGGACCAGCGGCAAGAGATCGAGGAGTGGCAGCGAGGGATCCACAACCGTCACGAGGTCGACGATTGGCGAGTGCACGACTCTAGCCCGTCCGCTTCGTCAGAGGAGGACTTTTGGGCGGGCAGTCCCGCGCCGCCCAACCCCAACCGGCGGGCTAGCCGCACGCCGAGCTACGACCCCGACGACCTGATGATGCAGATTCTGGACGAGGACATGCAGGGCTTGGCCGTGGGAGAGGACATGCAGGGGGCCGCGAGAGAGCAAGACGACGACGTCATTTACGTGGGTACCACTCAGGGAAAGCAGGAGCCAGAGGGTCCGAAGCAGGAAGAGGATTCAGACGACGACGTCATCTACGTGCGTACCGTCGCTCTGCGCCAGCAAGACAGCCCGCACAGCCTTGGTCAAGCAGAGGACATGGCCGTGGCAAGTCCGTCCACTATGGACCATCGAATCGAGGATATGGACGACATGCCTACGCCGGGCAGCCCGCAAGACAGCTTCGGTCAAGCAGACAAGACGTCTTCGCACCAGGACATCCTTCCGCTCAACATGCCCGTGGCCAGCCCGCCCCCTCTAGTCGACATGCCCCACGTCGACATGCCCCCCCTGCCACACGCCGACATGCCCCCCAACATTGTCGACATGCCCGCCGACATGCCCCCCCCCACCGCCTTTCGCTGCCGCTCACCGCTTCCGCTGGTCTCCGACAACAAAGTCTTGGACAATATCAAAGTCTTGGTCCAGAAAGAGGGCCGCTTCCACGCCGTCGTTGCCGATGCGCGCGAAAAGCTCCGGGACAAGGCCCAGAAGGCCCAGAAGGCACGGTACCGCATCGCCAAGAGCGCGAAGCGGGCGCTCGTCCGCGGTACGCCGTTGCTCGAGCCGGCCTCCAGCGACGACCGGGACGACAGCGACGACAGCGACGAGCGCGACACCTCTCGCTGCCTCTGCTGGCTTGACTGGCACAACCGGGAGGGCGTAGACAAGGAATGCGTCCACGGAAACAAGGGCGTGCAAGAAGGCGTCTACGTCCAAGGCAAAGAAGGCGTCCAAGAAGGCGTCTACGTCCAAGGCGTCCACGTCCAAGGCGAACAAGGCCACGTGCAACACAACCAACACAACGTCCCCCGCAGCGCGCTAAAGAGGTTCGCGTCTGGCGCTAGCCGCGCCCTGACTGGCTTCGCGGCCGCGGCCTGGGACAGGTGGTACAGGGTCGACCGCAACGCCGACGCAGGCAACGCCCCCGAGGACGACGCAGGCAACACAGCCGCAGGCAACGCAGCCGCAAGCAACGCAGACCCCAACGCAGACCCCGACGCAGGCAACGCAGAACCCGCACCCGAGGACGACGCAGCCGCAGGCAACGTAGACCCCAACGCCCCCGAGGACGACGTAGGCAACGCAGACCCCAACGCAGGCAACGCAGATGCCGGCAGCGTCATCGCGCAGGCCAGCGACGCCAGCCTCAGCCCGCAGGCCAGCCGCGCCAGCCTCATCGCGCAGTTCAGCGAGGCCACCCTCAGCTTGCAGGCCAGCCTCGGCCCCCGGAGCTCGCTCGCGTCCAGCCAGGAGCTGGCCAGGCCGCCGCTCGAGCACGCACAGGCCGCGCGGCCGCGGTGGGGCACGTGGAGCTCCCGCAACCCGCCGCTGGGCCTGGCGCGGCGTCCGCCCTACGACCTGAGCCGCCGGCGCTGGGACAAACTAGCCGGCGGGCCGCTGACAGAGAGGCTAGGCCGGGGGCTGTTCCCGGATATCGTGGCCGAAGAGGACAGCGACGCAGGCGAGGGACCCGTTAGACCTAGAAGGGGAGCTACTTTGAGCGACGGACGCAAGCGAGCTCCGACTTTCGACGCGCCGGTAGATGGAGCGAGACGAGCTCCAACTTTCAACGCGCTGGTAGATGGACCTACAAGGCGAGGTCCGACTATGGGACGATTTCCGCCTTTGGGACAAGCTCCGACTTTGAGCGAGGGACGCAAGCGAGCTCTGGCTTCGAGACCAGCTCCGACTTTGGGACCAGCTACTTTGAGCGAGGGACGCAAGCAAGCTCCCAGTTTGAGCCCCGATAGACGACTCACCAAGAAGCGAAACGACGCGCTAGATGCACCCACAAAGCGAGCTACAAAGCGCGCGAGCGACGCGCCGGTAGACGGACCCACAAAGCGACCCAAGAAGGGCCCGCGAGCGAGCGACGCACCAGAGCCACAAAGCGAGCGAGCGACGCTGCACCCACAAAGCGAGCGAGCGACGCCCACAAAGCGAGCTCTAAAGCGAGCGAGCGACGCACCAGATGCACCCGCAAAGCGAGCCAAGAAGGGCCCGCGAGCTCCGGCAGTTTGAGCAGTGGACTGGGATGGCTGGGGGTCTGGCACTCGGCTGGGGATGTGGCATTCGGTCTGGGCATTCGGTCTGACATTCGGTCTCTCTGGGATTTGGTCTGGGATTTGGTCTGGACTCTGGGATTAGGCGCACTCTAGGATTCGGCGCACTCTGGGATTAGGCGCACTCTAGGATTAGGCGCACTGGGGATTTGGTCTGGCATTCGGGCTAGACTGGGATTTGGCGCACTCTGGGATTCGGCGCACTCTGGGATGGCTAGCTGGGCATTCGGTCTGGCATTCGGTCTGCTGGGAGGTGGGCACGACAGCCCGCCATAGGCACGACAGCCATGGTCAGAGAATGCACTTTGCATTGCTTTTTGTTTTTCATTCTTTCCACATTCCCGTGAGGCTCCATATCAAGTTTGGCCAGTTCTACCGCATGGTGGCCGGGAATCACTGCTTTTCATTCTTTCCATACACCCATACACAGGATCCTATATCAGGACCCATACACAGGGATGCTATATATCAGGACTCCCATACACCATACACATCACACCCATACACATCACCCCATGCATCAGAATCACTGCTTGCGTGCGTTTTCATTCTTCCATACATCAGGTAGATCTGGGCCGAGGCGAGGCATGGGCCAGCAGTTTCCACCGCCCATGGTGGCCGGTCACAACCACGCTTGTTTAGGTAGCTAGGGAGAACGATTGCTTTATATATGTTGTGTGCTGTGTGTTGTGTTGTGTGCTGGCGAGTATGTGACTGTGTGCGTGTGTTGTGTGCCGAAGGATGTGAGTGTGGGATGCGTGTGTGCTGAGTGGTGTGACTGTGTGCCGAGTGATGTGACTGTGTGCCGAGTGATGTAGCTTGTCTGCGCCGCTGCAGAGAGGTAGGTTTGGGATCCGTGTATTGGATATCGCCTCAGACATGTGTTTGGGATCCGTATATTAGACATCGCCTCGGACATATAGTTGGGATCCGTATCAGATGTGGTAGGGGAACCGTATACTAGACATCGCCTCAGATATGTGGTTTCAGACATTAGTTTATGTAACGCCGCTACAGACATGGTTTCGTGCTACGGCGTATACTGCCGCCCGAGATATTGGAATCCGTGTCAGATGTAGTGGGGGATCCGTGTATTAGATATTGCCTCAGACATATAGTTTCAGACATTAGTTTGTGTGACGCCACTGCAGACATGGTTTCGTGCTACCGCGTATCCTGCCGCCCGAGATATTGGAATCCGTGTCAGATATGGTTAGGATCCGTGTGTTAGACATCGCCTCAGACATGTGTTGGGATGCGCAGTGGTTTCAGACATTAGTTTGTGTGACGCTGCAACATGCTGTGTGACGCCGCTGCAACGCTTTGTGTGACGCCGTGCAGACTGGTTGGGATGCGCCTCTCAGACATTACTTTGTGTAACGCCATGCAGACTGGTTCGCACGGCGTGTGCCGCCTGCCCCCCGAGACATGCACTCCATGTTACACCGTCCCGAGGCATGCACTCCATGTTACACCCATCTTACTATGCAGAGCCGCTGCGAGTGCGCGGTGGAGGGCGAGGACGGGTTGGCGCGGATTTTTGAACCGCGATGTCGAGATTGCTTTTTGAACCGCGACGTTGAAATTGGTTCGGGGCGGGGCTGCAGCTGCTGCGCGACGTTGAAATTGGCTCGGGTACCGGGCTGCAGCTGCCGCGGGTGCAAACGTAGGACGAGATTGGCGTAGGTGCCGCGTAGGGTTCCGCGGTGTGCAAACGTAGAACGAGATCGGCGCAGGTACCGCGCAGGGGTGCCGCGGCGTGCAAACGTGGGACGAGATTGGCGCCGGTGCCGCGCAGGGGTGCCGCAGCGTGCAGATCTCTGCCGACGCCACAGCCGCTGACCGACGTGCCTGCAGGCCGACGTCGTATTGTCCCGGCCGTGGTACTGCATATGCAAGCCGGTGTGGTGCTGGGCTAACGGCGGTGCTGGGCTAACGGCGTGGTGCTAGGCTGACGGCGTGGTGCTGGGCTAACGGCGTGGTGCTGGGCTAACGGTAGGAGATGCGGTACTATACTACGTCACCACCACGTCGTATGAGGCCACACCGGCGCGCTGGAGAGGCCAGGGGTGCCGCGGTGCTGTGGCACTGCATATGCACGTCCATACCGCCGGCGTGGGGGGGCGGCACCACACCGCGGCTATACGTCGCGGCCATACCACGTCGTATTCGGAATATAGGCCACATCGTTGGAGAGGTCGGGGTGCCGCGGGTAGCCGTGTGGGTGGTTGGGTGTGTGGGTGTGGGTGGGCGTGGGTGGGCGTGGGTTGGTGTTCTCCCTGACACTGTGGGCTGGCGTTATTTGTGTGGGTTGCCGTTGGTGTGGGGTGGGTGGCGTTCTTTGTGTAGGTTGACTTTCTTTATATGAGTTGGCGTTGATCTGGTGGGTTGGTGTTCCTGACACTGGTGTTGTTGTGCTAGTGGTGATGTCACTCGGCCGTATCGTAGACGTATGTACGTGGCTGCAGCGGGTGCCATATTAATTCTCGTCATATCTGGTGGTGGCCATCAGGGGGTATATTATACCTTCTTATTTATCATAGCTAGTAACGGGATTAGGGGTATACCGTGCCTTATTTGTCATGGCTGGTGGTGACGGCATCAGGGGGTGTCGTTTACTTATTTGTTATGCGAGGGCACCGATAGGTAAGAAGGTGATTAGGATGGCATGTGGTCACTAACGCTATCCGCCTCCAGGCGGGAAATCTATGTGTGGGGGATAGGCTGGATGTGCAGGGGCCAACTGGTGGACCCAGCTGAGCCAGGCTTGGCCTGTGCCTAGCACATTTGTATTGTCTGGTGATTATGTTAGTCCCTCGTTACCTGCTTATTCGTATTGCTGGCCGTCAGGAAATGTCGTTTCCTTGTTGTGTTAGTTGGTAACCATGTCAGTCTCGTTGCCTGCTCGTTCTATTGTGACTAACTGGTGGTAGGTTGGCGTTCTTAATACTAGTGGGTATAGGTTGGCGATACTGGGGGGGTGGGTTAGCGTTGACACTGGTGTAGGTAAGGGTTAGCGATATTTCTGATCTTCTTGATACTGGTGTGGGTGTGGGTTGGCTAACACTAGTGGGTATGGGTTGGCGTTTTGACACTGGTGGGTATGGGTTGATACTAGTATCTAGGTTGGCGATCTTCCTGATCTTATTGATGCTGGTGGTAGGTGTGGGTTGGTGGTTTTTGCTGATACTGGTGGGTTGGCGTTCTTGATACTGGTGGGTTAACGTGGTGACGGGGCGTTATGCTGCTGCGGCTGGTGATGGGGCGAGGAGCCGTATCATAGACGTATGTACGTGACTACGGCGAGTACTATATTAGTTCTCTCGTCATGGCTGCTGGTGGCCATCAGGGTATTTCTTAACTATTTGTTATGGCTAGTAGTAACGGGATTGGGGGGTTTGTTGTTTACTTTTGTCATAGCTAGTAGTAACGGCATTTGTTGGAACAACGCGCTAGTCAGCCACAGATGTGGCGGTAGAGGTGCAAGCAGCCACAGGTGGCGGTAGACGCGCAGGGGCGCAGGGCCACCAAATATAAATACATAAATAAGTGGCCGTAGGCCACTTTCACCTTCCTTCTTAGACACACATAGACAAAATGCGAAATCCAACACTTGAACCACGAGTATACGGCGCGCAGAGCGCCTTGTTGATTCTAGTACCGGTACCTGGTTGTTACAATCTGGATAACAGGTCCACGGAGATAGGCCCGGCCTAGAATTGTGGGGGTCTGGACGGCAGGTAGGAGATGACAGGAGACAAGGAGTATCGTGCACAGATTGCGAAAGACAGGCTTTCAACACACAACCAATGTATGCTTAACTAGATGCATTGATAGCTGCGGAACCGTTCTCCCAGGGGGAGCGTTTTGCCAGTTCCTATATAGAACTATGACAACCAATTAGAATCCTTATCCTATGTGCTCAGTGCGCTCCGTATGCTCAGTGCGCTCCCACGCCAACTGAGTTGATCGAGCGTACTGAGCATACTGAGCGCTCCCTGATTGGCTGCAGCTGTCTTGCTCAGTGCGCTCCAAGGCCAACTGAGCTGACTGGGCGTACTGATCATACTGAGCGTTCCCTGATTGTCTGCATCTACTTCGCCGAGAGCCCCGCCCTAAATGCCACTCCGGCCAATCTGTCGCGAGCGGGCAACGCCTACTGCACCTTTGAACCAGGATCGTAACACTGGTGATCCCAACAGCAGTAGAGTATGTCGTTTACTTATTTGTGTTGGCTGGTAACCACGTCAGTTCCTCGTTGCCTGCTTATTTATTATAGCTACCATTAGGGAATTTCGTACCTTATTCATTATGGCTACTATCAGAGAATGTTGTACCTTGTTGTTATGGCTAGACAGGGCGACCCACTTATGCAATCGCCCCCCTTTGCAATCGCCTACCACCATCACGGCCCACCACAAGAATCATCAAAATACTCAATTATAGGCCAAACTCTATGGAAAAAAGTACATTCTAGTCCTCGTCAATCGCCCTATAATGCTCAAGCCCACGGGCGATAATTTCTTCAGCGGCCTGGACCAGGTGTGCAGGCCTGGACTTAGTCTTCTTGGATCTCTTCTTGGGAGGCTTTTGACTAGCTTTTTGAGCTTCGTCAATTTCGTCAATAGTAGCAAATCTGTCGTTGGCGTTTATTTTGACCCTTTTACGTGAATAGGGCTTTTTAGATTCCAACTCGTTAGCTAAGAAGTCGTTTTTTGCCTTCAAAGCAGCGATTTCCGTATTCTTCTGATTGAGTGCCCTCTCTACCTTCGTCAACATAGTCCTGACGACCCTATCTCGGGGACTAGTGGCCGTCTTGGCTAAGCCCTGTTGCCTGCAGACGTCGTGACTACCTTGAGGTGTATTGAAGAGGTCGTTCCGGGTTGCCCGAGTCTTCCGAGGTGGTGTAGATGAGAGGACTAGTTTTGCAGCTTCGTCCCGGACCGCCTCGGGGTCGTCAAGTATACGAGCGGGTTGGAAAGGCCAGATTCCGGTCTTCCGGAAGCCGGATATAATATTCCGGGCTGACATACCCTGCGCTGAGGCGTCCCGGTACCAAAAAAGGAAGCGCTGCTTGTTGATAGGTGCTGAGGCTGTGAAAGAAGCCAATTCGAGGGTTCTTTGGCGAAAATAGGACTTCAAAGCCGAAAAGACAGACCGGTCGAGTGGCTGGGTCTTGTGAGAAGTATGTGAAGGCAAGTATAGTAGGTGTACGCGGTTTCTTTTAGCTGGAAGCATAAAGTCTTCGTCGATATGAGTGGCGTGTTCGTTGAAGACCATGTCACGAATCCCTGTGGATTCCCTGTGGTTATGCACCAAGGTGGGGCATGCACTTTTGGCGCGAGCCAATCAGGAGTGTTCCAGGATTCCGAGCTCTGGAGCTCGGGGACGCGGGACAGGTCCGACCGGGCGGTGACCCGGACGCGGGACCACGGGACAACGGAACCACTGTTATTGGTTACGTAGATAGATATATACGACGATCGTGTCCACGGTCTTAGATAGTTCTTGCTTGGTTCTTCAAGCAAGCAATACACATTCGCTGCACTCATACACTTTGAGTGGCATTCCGATTTGACTGTATTACCCGTGCGATAGGAGCTTGCCCTTTGTTCTATCTTCATAATTACCAACCCCAGCATTCTGTGGAGCCCGTGCTCCCTTACAGACAGACGACCCTAACAGTCGAGTGGTTTGTAATAGACCAATAGGGGCCAATCGTCCTTTGTCACGAATCCCTGTTCGTACTGGTTGGGAAGCAGGGCAGGGGTGGCTGGACCCGCCTCGGCTAGTCACGTTAAAGGAGGGGCTTGGACCCACAGTTGCTCTGTTCGGTGGAGAACAGAGCAGAAGGGCCCGCATTTGCTCTGCACGGTGGAGTACAGAGCAACAGTCTGGTTGGCTGCTCTGTAGCTCTGTCGGGGAGCAACAGAGCAACGGTTTGGTTGGCTGCTCTGTAGCTCTGTCGGAGAGCAACAGAGCAACGCTCTGTAGCTCTGTCAGAGAGCAACAGAGCAACGCTCTGTAGCTCTGTCAGAGAGCAACAGAGCAACGCTCCAATTGGCCCAGCTTAGGGCCTGATCGGCTCGCCGTTGCGGTGTCGTTGCGGTTGGGAAAACCTGCACAAAAAAAATCGCGGGGGGCCTTG